ATCGCTAATTTGATTGGCTAAATCAATATGCATGATCGGGATCATCATTTCCTTATTTGGAACGGTCTCCCCTGTTACACAGGCGCTATATTGCATTCGGAATAAATATTGCCGGTAGGTTATGATACTCGAAGTCATTTTGATGCTTTGATCTTATTCATAGATTATTTTTGTTATAGGTGATCGTCTCGTACTCCATGGTCTATTTAACGAAAGTGGTATTAAATATTATTACCCTATTGCTGAAGCGACTATTCCATTTCGTAATGAATCAATTGATGAAATTGAAGAATCTGTTCATATGCTAATGATAATGCGTGTATGTATGATTTTTAAATAAACATTAATCAATTATATGTACGCACCTTTCTGGAAATGCCAATGTTCATTCTATTTCTTTATTATCTTAGAATAGAATAATCGTTAATTTACACAACATGATACGAATTTATAAGAAATAAAAACTTGTAACCCCTAAGTACGTACCATATTATTCCTAAAATATTACCCATTTTTATAATGTTGAGTATCTAAAAAAATTATTAATAACGTGGCGAATGAACGTTTATTTCCGAAATGATGCAATAAGTTTGGCCTGGTGGCTGATTTCGCATAATCATGTTTACCTTGGCAAAAGTGATCAGCATGAAGCGTACATGATTTTTTTATTTCCAAACATTTGAAATAAAGTAATACAAATTCTACCGAAGATTTAGTGTGTGAATTTGTAGAAGGTTTATTACAAGAATTTACCTCACATAATAATCAATGTTGGGAATCTATAGAAATGGCCAATCCCGCATCCATATCTGAAAGTCTTCAGAAGGTTGCATATCAAGCAAGTGTTGCAAGAAAAAATTCGATAAATACAAAACGCAAAGTAATTTTATCTTGGGGTCGCTACTCTGAAAGATTTGAAGATAAAGTCATAGAGCTTAGATCTGAGAATAAAAATCCTACAGGTAAGACTGCAAGAAACAGGATTTATAACGAGATGAAACCATATCCTCCAGGCATTTCTGGTGAATATTTACGTGTAATGACCTGTAAAGCAAGAAAGATTAATAAGTTATTTGGATATGAATATGACCTTTCAACTTTGAAAAAGATTAATGGTTAGGATGGCATATGGTTAATCGGGTCACTTTGTAGTGCTGATAGTATTTCAAGACTCACTAATCCTCAAATCCAATACATTATAGATTATGAGTCCTCAAAAAACGTTAACATTGTTAACGATCATACTAACGCAGAGATAATTATTCAAACTGATTATTCTATCTCTGAACCATTTAATGAAAATGATTAAGATTTGAAATCACCTGAAACGACTACAGAGGAATCAACCGAGATACAAGTAAGTGTATTCGATGATTTTTCAGATTCTAACTCTGATGATGATAATTATAATGACGATGAGAAGAATGAGGACGAAGATGACAAAGTGGTGGCAAAAAAAATTCGCGATGACGTGATCGCCGAACCACTTCCGATCTGATAATACAAATTACGTA